CATAAAACGAGTTTGGAAGTCTTCCTTCTTCTTGAATTTTTTGAAATACTTTGAGTAGAATGGGTGTTAGTTCTTTTCTGAATGTTCGGTAAAACTCCCCTGTGATGCCATCTGGGCCTGGGCTTTTGTTTGCTGGGAGAGTCTTGATTACCTCTTCAATTTCCTTAGTTGTTATTGGTCTGTTCAAGTTTTCTATCTCTTCCCGGTCCAGTTTTGAGAGACTGTGTGTTTCTAGAAATTTGTCCATTTTGCTTAGATTGTCAAATTTGTTGCCATATAATTGTTCATAGTAGTTGTTAACGATCTTTTGTATTTCTGTGGTGTCAGTTGTTACTTCTCTTTCATTTCTGATTTTGTGCATTTGGGTTCTCTCTCTTTGTTTCTTGGTGAGTCTAGCTAAGGGTCCCTCAATCTTGTTTATCTTTTCAAAAAACCAGCTCTTTGTTACATTGATCCTTTGAATTGTTTTTTTGGTCTCTATGTCATTTATTTCTCACATTCTTTTAAAAAAAATCATTTTATTGGTCCTGGCTGATTGGTTAGAGCGTTGACCTACAGTCCAGAGAGACCCAGGTTCCGTTCCCACTAAGGGCGTGTACCTCGGTTACAGTTTGTCCCCGGCCCTGGTTGGGTTGTGCAGATGGCAGCCACTCGATGTGTCCTTTTCACATCAATGTTTCTCACCCCCCCCCCCCCCACTCTATCTGAACAAAAACTGAAAAAATGTTCTCAGGTGATAAAATTTTAAAAAAATAATAATAATTTTATTGATATTTAGAGAGAGAAGAAGGGAGAGAGAGAGAAACATTAGTCACCTTTCAGTGCACAGGACGATGCCCAACCGAGCCACACCAGCCAGGGCTTGTCCACATTCTTATTTCCTTGGGATAAGTTTCTAGACACTAATAGCCAACCTTATTAAGTGATTTTTATGTGACGGACATTTTAATAAGCCCTTATAGTGTCTGATTTATCCCAGTAGTGCTACTTTGCCCATTTCACTGGTGGGATATGAAGGCCCAGCTAGAGGAGGTAGAATTGGAGGTGGCCATGTGTGTAGGCTCTAACGCAACTGCTGCTCCTAGGATGGTCTACAGCTTTGATCTTTCTTTGCAGTTCCCCTTTTGTAAATACTTATAACAATACCAACTTCTCTTGGCAACTGTGAAGACTAAGTTAGTTGATATATGTAAAGTGCTTAGACTCCTGCACTTAGCACGTGATTGATAATGATCAGTTATTGTAAATGTTGAGGTGTAGCATTTTCATTGGCACTCATATTTGGCTTTTAATATTTTTTTATATGGATTCTATTCTACTTTTATAGTTTGAATTCTTTCTAGTACATTATTACACTTATAATTACTTTACTCTTTCCCTTTAAAATATATGGTATTAGCCCAGCTGGTGTGGCTCAGTGGTTCAGCATCTACCCATGCACCAAGAGGCTGCCGGTTCAATTCTCAGTCACAGCACATACACAGGTTGTGGGCCTGATCCCCAGGGAGGGCATGCAGGAGGCGGCCAATTGATGTTCTCTCTCATCACTCTCTCCCTTCCTCTCTCTCTAAAATCAATACAGAAAAAAAATATATGGTATTAGCATATTTGAATTAATTGTATTGAAAAGAAATATACAACTTATCTGAAACCAAAGATACTACACCAACATTTATACCACAAATGTGCCCAGTAGTCTTGTTTTAAAAAATGGATGTAAGCATATGAAAATACATCAATTTCATTATTTTATGTTTTTTTTTTTTAAATCCTCACCCGAGGACTTTTTTTTTTTTTTTTTTTTTTCATTTATTTTCAGATAGAGCGGGAGGGAGAGAGGAAGGAAGAGAAACATCTACGTGAGAGAGACACATCCAGTGGCTGCCACCCATATGACCTCAACCGGGGCCAGGGACAAACTGCAACCGAGGTACATGCCCTTAGCGGGAACTGAACCTGGGACTCTCTGGTCCACGGGTCAGTGCTCTAACTGCTGAGCAAAACTGGCCAGGGTACTATTTTTTTTTCTTTATTGATTTTTCCTGAGGAAATAAATGCCAAATGATGTGTGTGGAGGATGTTCCTTACATGATTGTTTCTAATAGCAAAACACTTGAAACCTATGTAACTTATAAGAGAATGTTTACTTACATATATGCACCTATCCCTCAGCTTCCATGAAGGTCAGACAATTACTGGGAAAATTATGGGAAAAGGGGGAGCAGATTCTAGCAATGACTTACCCTTGGACTGAAGCTTGACTCCACTCAGACCTCTTTCTTTCTTAGTTTACTCCCTGCCCTTTCTGCCTCCTCGTCACCTCTTTTCTCCTGAAAGCACTCCTTCAATAATTTACCTGAACAAGATTCCCCACCTTAGGTTCTGCATCTGGAAGTATATGACTGCAGACACAGTCAATAAAAGTGATTATGAAGCTGTACATTCACTAATCTGAAAAGATGTTCTTGGTATATTAAGTAAATGTAGAATACTCATTTTTTTAAAAATAAAAGCCCACTGAACATTTTTTAAAAGTCTGGAACAGACGTGAAGCCATATATTCTGTATAGACTAATATATTATGGAATAATTTTAAGTGTGGTAATGGTATTGTGGTTATATAGTAGAATGTCCTTATTTTTAGGAGATGCACGCTGAAAGCATAGAATGTTTCTGCAATTTACTTCCAATTTTCATATATATATATATACACACACACATACACACACACATACATACAGGGTGGGGCAAAAGTAGGTTTACAGTTTATCGATCAAGGGCACATACCTGGGTCTCAGGTTCGATCCCCTGCCCTGGTCGGGACACGTGGGGGAGGCAACCAATTGATGTGTCCTCTCACATCGATGTTTTTCTCTCTCTCCATCCCTCCCATTCCTTTTAAAAATTGGTGGAAAAAATATCCTCTGGTGAGGATTAACACACACACACAAACAAAGAAAAGAATACAATAATTAATAATAAAAGAATGGTCCAGTCAGTGTGGCTCAGTGGTTAAGTGTCGACCCATGCACCAAGAGGTCTCCAGTTCGATTCCTGGTCAGGATACATGGCCAGGTTGTGAGCCCAATCCCCAGTGGGGGGCATGCAGGAGGCAGCCAATCGATGTTCTCTCTCATTGATGTTTCTATCTCTCCCTCTCCCTTCCTCTCTCTCTAAAATCAATAAAGGAAATAAAATAAAATAAAACAAGAATAAACTTGGGTACTCAAGATTGTAAAACTACTTTTGCCTACCCCTGTATGTATATGTGTATACATATGCTCTAGTGAAGGGTATATGGTTTGTTGTATTAAGTCTTTCAACTTTTTAGAAGGTTTACATTTATTCAAAATAAAAAGTTAGGGGGAAAACGTACCTTCTAGATGCTAGGATTACTGTGGTTTAGCAAAATCAGTATTTGTGGGAATTGGTGAGTCTCTAAGATTTTTATTCTTGCAGTCAAGGACTTTGTGTGTACACCTGCGATGCTGTTGTCAGCTGTTTGTAACAAAGATTGTGAACTACTGTGGTGAACATTGACCTCAGGGGCACAGTACACTCTGGGTGCTGGTTTGTGCCACCCAAGGGAGCTATATGTGAACACTGCTTTTGCCTCCTATCTTTAGCTTGCTTTCAAGTCTGTCAGTTTGATAGACTTGTTTTAGCTGAACTCTGTATCTACTAACTGGACCAATACTTTTTCAATATGAGTACACCCTTAATTCAACTCTTCTACTTGTGGGAACCTAGCCAAAGGAAATTACAAGTGTGCTAACTCTACTAGCAAATAATTAGAAACAATCTCCATGGCCAAAAATAAAGGACTGAATTCTGAATCTTATGCAGTCACTGAAAACAGTACTGCAGAAATGTACAGACTAACATGGACAGTCACAATATATGGTGGAAAAACTAGGTTATATTTTGTGTGGTATGAGCAAATGTCAAAAATTACAATTACATCTAGATTTAGAAGAATATACACCAAATGCTTAACTTTGACTCTCTGGGTAGGTGAAATTTTGAGGTTTTTTTGCATTTAAATTTTAAACATTTAAAAAAAGAAACTTGATTAAAAGATAAAAAGATAGCATAACATTTAATAAATTCAATTATGGGAATTCCTCATAGTAAATTATAATTTAAATGTGGGGGTTGCATAATACCTAAACATTGTATCTTTTTATATATCTACTTAAAAGATGCATCCTGCATTGTGGTCAAGACTTCAGGTTCTGGTCTTGGGATATCTGGGTTACATCTTGGCCTGTCACTTACCTGAGTGATTGTAGAACCAAGCTGGCTAACCTCCAAATCTTCATCTTCATGTGGCTAACAGGGATGGTAGTAATATCAACATTACAGCTTTGTTGAGGATTAAATAATACATAAAAAATTCTTGGTACAGTACATAGTAGTACTAAGGCTCAGTGTTAGTTTTTTTTTTTTTTTTAATGTTTTTATTATTTTTTTCAGAGAGAGAGGAAAGGAGAGAGAAACATTGATCAGCTGCCTCCTTCATGCCCCCTACCAGGGATCAAGCTCACAACCCAGGTATATGCCCTGACCGGGAATCGAACTGGGACCTCAGTACTTGGGAGGATGCTCAATCCACTGGCCACACCCTCTGGGCCAGTGTTAGCTATTATTAAATTAGATGTCCAAAGCTTTCAAGAGCCAGAGTCTCCTGTTTACACTAACAGTAGGAGCCTCTGCCTAAGCCTAAAGGACTTCATTAAGCAGTCTGATAGCTGTTGTGCATCTTCCCTAGCCTTTTTTTAGGGAAAGGAGTAGATGAAAGCAAAAGTAGCATTCCTAGGCCGCTCACCTTCCCTGAAGACTCCTTATTTCTGGTCAGGAGGCAGAGATGCTGATAAACTCTGTTAATAAAGCACAGTGCTCACCAGGACAAAGGTCAATGACCAAGGTCTGAAGCCTCTTAATAAGGAAGTATCCCTCCTAGCCACTATTAAGGGAAAGAAGTACACCTTTAAGCCACAGAAAAGCCAGCATATTTATTTGGAAACAGTAATTTCAAAATTATCAAACTCAGAATCTACGAACCAGGGTACAAACGAGTGAGGTCACCATTCATTGTTAACTTATTAAGTAAAATTATAAATGATTAGGTGGAGTAGTGTTTTTCCACATTTCTTAAGAATTACTTGGAGTGCTGGAGATTAATCCTGCTAATTAATACAGTAGGCCTGGTATGGGCCAGTAATTTGGAAATATTGTTTTTACAAATACCTCCAGATAATTACAATGATCAAAGAAATGTGGGAAACACTGATTTGAAACATGCTTTTCAACTTCCTTTGCAGATTTTAATTCTTGAACTACTGATCCCACAATGATTCACTGAAGTCTTACCCAGTCCAGTTTTAGTAAAGGAAAGTAAGTCTGAACATTTCATGCCTCATTGGAGGCATCACAAGTCTGTTTCCTAGATGACAGATGGCACTCTACTTTCCTTTCCATTTCTGACCCAGCTCTTCTAGAGCATGTTTTTCTTGGAGTTCCCGTCTTCCCTGAGTTGAGGCATAGCAAGACAATCAAACCATCTTTAAAAACTGGTTTCTTATTAAAGGACTGTCACTTTTAATAACCTTTGCTTGCTTCAGTCCAGCTCCCTTCTCTTCTGAAGCTTAAGAAGTTTGGCTGCTTTGTGTAGACTCAATATTCTGGCCTTTCCACCTTAAATCTCATACTGACAACCCCGTGTATGCCAGCTTGGATCTCATCGTTTACTTCAACAGGGCCAACTCCCTTTGGCGTCCCGGTCAAGATAACATCTCCTTCTTCCAGGGCCATTATCTTAGAAATGTAGCTGATGATGTAGGGGATGGTAAAGATCATGGAGGACGTCTCACCCTCCTGCCTGAGTTCGCCATTGACCTTGAGCCAGAGCTTCAGGTTATGAGGATCAGGAACCTTTTCTTTGGGCACGAACGCGCTGACGGGGCAGGAGGTTGTGAAGCTCTTTGCCAGAGTCCAGGGCAGCCCCTTCTTCTTGCACTCGTCCTGCACGTCCCTGGCGGTCATATCCAAGCACAGGGCATAGCCGGCCACGTAGTCCATGGCCTGAGCCTCCGGGACTGCATGGCCGCGCTTGCCCATCACTACGCCAAGTTCAAGCTCGTGGTGCAGGTTGCGGCTGTAGGCAGGCATGAGGATGGGCGAGCCCTCGGGGGCATAGGCGGTGGACGGCTTCAGGAAGAGCACGGGCTCGCTAGGTACTGCGCTCTGCATCTCCTTCGCGTGGTCCGCGTAGTTCCTGCCCACGCACACGATATTCTTCCCCCACTCCCAGAAGCGGGAGAGCGGCCTGGAAGCCGCCATGGCTCCAAGCTAGGCAACCCCTAGAGTCACGTGGATTCGGGCCCTGGCCGGTCCCCTGCCGCCTACGGCTACCCCGAGAGGACGAACTATCTCGGAGCGCAATCCCGTCTGCGACCGTCCGCTCTGCTTTATGTTCTGCCGGGTGCACCGGAGTCGCGGCGCTCGACCACCTAGGAACCGTTGTCCAGTGGCAGCCTCTGGGCTCCTTGAGAAGCCAACCTTGTTGGGAAAGAAGTGAGGCTCTAATGTTGTTCTCTGGCTGCAGCCGCTTCCTGGCTTCACACCCACACGGGTTTGGACGCGAGCGTTGATTGGCCGTGAGGCGTAGGGGGGGGGGGGACACGGATTTGGAGGAGAGCGCTAATTGGCCAGAAGGTGGGGTGGGGGCGCGAAGTGGGCACTGATTGGCGTGACATGCCGACGCTGCGTTTGCGGCCCGCCCACACCTCGCACTGCCGCTCGCTCTCCGCCCTGGTCATGGTGCTGAGCCGGCTGCTCTGCCGCCGGAGTCTTACCGCGGTAGGAGCCACCTGCGCCCGCCGCGGCCTGGGTAGGTCGGCCGAGTCCGGCCCGGCTGGGGCAAGGCTGACAGCGGGAGGGGACTGGGGACGGGGACAGTCTGGTCCGAGGTTCCTGGTGGGTGTCAAAGCCGGGCAACGGCAGTTAGGCCAGCTGTGCTCCCGGAGGCGTCCCAGAGGCTCCAGCGGCCCGCAGCCGGGCGTTGGGCGCGGACGCAGTCTGTGGGCCCGCGCTGGTGCGGCGGCAGGGAGTCACCGGGCCGCCGCGGTTGACGCTGTTTTTGTTTTTTTAATCGACATAGGATTTTAATTCTCGTTGACTGAGCCAGGCAGGCCGGTTGGGGTCGAGAAAGGCTGCGCAGCAGTTGGGGCAGATTTTGAGAGGGCTGAAGACAGAGATTGGGGTAACTGGTCAGCTGAGGTTGCTGAAGGATTTGTGCTAGGTAAGGAGACATGTGTTCCCCGGCGCTCGGACCGGCCTCCCTGAGGTCAGCCCCACAGACCTCATATTCCTCGATAATGGGCGGTGCGGGGTTTCCATATTTCCACCCCCCCACCCCCACCCCCACCCCACAATTCCCTTTTTTCTAATGTCCTGGGATGATGTGCCTGCCTGGAGCCCCAGGAAATGCTGTGTATGTATGTTCTCCCCAAAGTAAATCACATCTTTTCATCTGAGCTTTGGCTGTCAAGAAGAACCAGAGGCACGTATTCTAAAGTGATGACAAAGGGGAGAACGAACTCTGGAGCAATGCTTGGGTCCCAGCAAGACAGGGTCCTGTGAGCTGTAGGAGCCTGGCCCTCCATGGTTGTTTCCATCAGTGCCTCTAAAATGAGAGGCAATGGGCACTCTGGGCTCCAAGAGCCTGCTCTTCCATCTATCAGATTAGATTCTGCCCACTTGTTTTGTTGGAATATTTTGGCCTTTATTTTGAAATCTCCTTTTCTTTATTTCCTGATCTCTTATCTGGCTGATTAGCAATAGGTGCAGTAGGTTAACCACAGTCTCTGGGACCTGGTTAGCAGTTAACTAAATGGTGGGGGGGCACTAGGTAGGCAGATGGAACAAGCAGCAAAGCCATCCTTGGCCATTTTCAAATCCCACTGAAAGCAGTCAAGGTTCTGGAGTGGATAATGTATCGTCATTACTAAGGAAAGAGCCTGTTTTTTTCCATTTAGGAAACTAACTCATCAGAGTGTCAGGACTGAATTTTTGTGTCAGGAGTCAGGCAGATAGTGTAAGTGGGACTGTAGGGAATTGCCAGGAGTGTGGCTGCCTCAAAAGACCCCAGATATTTGATGCCATGCAGAAGGACTGGCCCCATTCAAAAGAAGTCAAACAAAATATATATCAGGACTTGGCCCATACCACAGGCAACAGGTTCATGCCCTCTGGTTACACAAAAGATCACAGCTGGGAGTATTTCGCAGGCTGTGGTGGGCTAGGTGATATAATTTTTGGAAAAGGAATAAGGTTTCTGGTGGTGATTGCACCAGATGAATTCTTTCCTTAGAGATAATGACATCTTGTCAGGTTCCCAAGCATCAGTTGTAAATAATGTTTTCTTCACCTGGACAGTGTGGATAATGTATGGGAAATACAAAAACGGGGCCTCCAAGCATGTGTGTACAACCTGTTGACATGGACATTGGGCTGGGGAAGGCAGGAGAGGGGTGGGAGTGGGAAGGAGGGGATCAATGGGGGAAAAAGGGGGACATCGGTAATACTTTCAACAATAAAAAAAAATTCTTGTTTTAGGATAAGGAATTTGAGGGACTCAAGGATTAAGTAGCTTGACTTAGTTACTGTATGGATCTGGAATTTAAATCTAAGCAGACTGGTTCCAGAGTCCATGGTCTTAACTATTACTTTGTACCGTATGTATGTATGTACATATAAAAACAGCCTGGCCTGTTTGGCTCAATGGTTAGAGAGTCGGCCCACAGACCAGAGAGTCCTGGGTTCGGTTCCCGCTAAGGGCGTGTACCTCGGTTGCAGTTTGTCCCTGGCCCTGGTTGGGGTCGGGTGGGTGGCGACCACTCGATGTGTCTCTCTCACGTCGATATTCTCTCTCTCTCTTCCTGCCACTCTATCTAAAGATAAATGCAAAAATGTCCTCGGGTGAAGATAAAAATAAATAAATAAATAATGTTGCCTCTCAGTTTGTGTGCATCCATTATTAAATATTCACAAGAGTAATAGCAACAAAAAAAAAAAAATGGGGCCTCCTTTAGAGGAGGAGGATGGAGTTTTGATTTTATCTTTCTACTCTCCTCCCACCCCACCCCCAACCCCAATACATACACTGCTCTCTATAGTATAGCCCTCAGGCTCAGATAGCACTATGGCTTAGGGGAGATGGAACATCACAAATGTGATCATGTAAACATGTTTGTTCTGCTGTGCATGAGGAGAAGGGCCTGGAAAATACCCAGCTGGTTGTCAAAGTAGAGGGGGGATTGGATATCTGTGTGTGATCATTAGAGCTGCAGTTCAGGCAGTTTCCCTGGCCATGGCAGATAAAGTTGAATCTGCTTTCGATGGCCTCTGGAGACTTGGCCAATCCATCTGTCAGTCAGTTGGTGCTCCCTGCTTTCTGGATCCTTCTGGGAGAGGCCCCATCCCAGCACTTACCGAGAATTTTATGGCTGCTTTCTGTCACCTGTTGTGCAGTTTTAATCCCTTTTAAGCTAAGACTTAAAGTATTATTGGAGCCTCCATGAATTTTTAGATTAAATAATAGGAGTTTCATTGTTGAAAATATTCAGGCACCTGTCTGCTGCCTGGAAGATGCTTTTGCCCTTCAGTCACTCCTGGCCACCTTGGCAGAGTCTTTTGACTCAGTTGCACACCCAAACCTAGAACAGTTGTAGCCAACTCTCCATTTCTTAGGCCCTGGTGGTTTTTGTACGTTATCCAAGTTTCTAGTTCCTGCCATTCGAAGGTGAATATTGTTTTATTTTTTGGCTGGAGGCCAGAGAAGGGCTGTGAGTAACGGCAGGTGACTCAGGCTGTATTAGCTGGAGAGGCAGCAGTGTACTGTGAGTAGGAAACAGCGCAGTTTAGCACCTTCACTCTGGGTTCTTTTCATGGTCTTCTCTGTGTCAGGTGTGAACAACCCGAACTTACAATAGTCATGTCTATCCTTTTAGAACTCTTGAAAAAGAAAATAAGGATCATAAACCTGAAAGAGTTGACTTCCATGAATATGAACATGAATTGTTTTCTATATTTTTTTAATGATGTGGTTAAATGAGGATATTCTCTTCTCTATCAAAGGAACTTAGAAAACCCTGCACAGTGAGCCTCACACTTGGATGTTCACGGCATGTTGTTCTGGGATGTCACATCCCCAGGATGCCCCTATTGCTGCTTGATCGAGGGCTTGTTTTTTGTTTTTGTTTTTAAATTTTTTTCCCTTTATTGATATTAGAGAGAGAAGAAGTGACAGGGAAAGAGAGAGAAACATCGATAAGAGAGAACACCAACTGGCTGCCTCCTGCATGCCCCCTGCTGGGGATCAGGCCCACAACCAGGGCATGTGCCCTGACCAGGAATCGAACCGGAAACCTCTTGGTGCATGGGTCGATGCTCAACCACTGAGCCACACTGGCCAGACTGAGGGCTGGTTTTGAAGTCTATGCCTGATGTGGCTTCACATGGACACTGACCAAAACTGCACTCTGTCTTCAGGTCCAGCCCTGCTGGGAATCCTCCTCTATCACACGGATTTGAGGAAGAGCTTAACTGTGGAACAGGGCGTCATGAAGGTTGAATTACTGCCTGCCCTGACGGATAACTACATGTACCTGATCATCGATGATGACACCAAGGAGGCCGCCATTGTGGACCCAGTACAGCCCCAGAAGGTGGGAGGTGTGTCCCCAGCACCAGTTCTTCATCCTCTGATGGGTTTGATAATTGCAGTGTTCTTGTAACTTGGCTAAAGCTAACTGGAAATTAATCTATTCAGTTTTTTACAAACAATTTAACTAGTGCCCAGCCACTATTATCAGGGCAAAGGACCAATGAAAGGGGTAGGAGTGACCAGAGGCTTTGGTGTTGAAAGATAAGGGCTTATGTCTGTAAAGTCCCTGGTCAGAGAAGCAGGAGCTGTCTACTTTTTTTTTTAATATGTTTTTATTGATTTTTTAGAGAAAGAAAGGGAGAGAGAAATAGAAACATCCATGTGAGAGAGAAACATCAATCTGCTGCCTCTTGCACACCCCCTACTGGGGATCAAGCCTGCAACCTGGGCATGTGCCCTGACTGGGAATCAAACCAGGACCTCTCAGTCCATGGGATGATGCTCAATCCACTGAGCCACACTGGCTAGGTGGCACTGTCTATTCTTACTTGAGGCTTTGTGCCCTTGGCCAGAGGGACTTGGAGAGGTCATGGGGGTAGGGGGGTACTGAGCTGCCAAGTGGATCAAGGGAGAAAAAGGCCACATTCACCCTGCTCTGCTGAAGTTAGGCCAAGTTGGGCAGGGTCAGGACAGGGCTCAGCAATTTCTGGCACATCCTCGGTTCTGCTGGGCACCCCCACCTTGTGGGCTGGTGAGCCAGCACTAGGAGTGTGACAGTAGCCTCTGTCCTGCCTCACATTTGGTTACAGGTTGTAGAAATGGCAAAAAAGCATGGCGTGAAGCTGACTACTCTGCTCACCACCCACCATCATTGGTAAGTGCTCCACTCCAGAAACTGAGCTCCTCCTTCCAGGCCAGCAGAGCTGATTGGGCCTGATGGTTCTGTGCCAGGCACACCCTGAGGGTGGGGCTGGGTGAGGCTCCCAAAGTTGGCAGCCTGGGTCACTTCTGCCCCCACAGCCGTGCAACTGAGGGTCTACCTTCAGTGGGATTCTGAGAAGGCTTTGGGTGTCAGCTTCCGTGCTGCTGCCCGATTCCCTTGGTCTTCCAGGCCATAGCCCCTTGGCCCTGTGACAGGGTCTGGTAACTTGGGGGCTCTGTGGGGAGATGCGTATGCTGTGGATTCTTCTGCCGCCAGAGGACCTCTAGCAGTGTCTTTGAAAGCACTTGGGCTTTGTGATGGGATGTTGGCCTCAATGTAGGGAATAAACTAGACTAGACATTAGTGTTTTTAAAAATCAGCAGCCAGCCCTGAGGTTTGGCTCAGCGGTTAGAGCGTCGGTCCGCAGACCAGAGAGACCCAGGTTCGGTTCCCATTAAAGGCACGTACTTCAGTTGCAGTTTGTCCCCGGCCCTGGTTGGGTCATATGGGTGGCAACCACTCAATGTGTCCCTTCACATCGATGTTTCTCTCTCTCTCCCTCCTGCTCTATCTGAAGATAAATGCAAAAGTGTTCTCTGGTGAGGATAAAACTAAATAAACAAACAAATACATTAATAAAGAAATAAAAATAAAAATCAGCAGCCATATTTGGAGAGGTTGTGTGTGTGTGTGTGTGTGTGTGTGTGTGTGTTTAATATTTAAAGGCTAAATGATGAAAAAGTACCTATGTTTGGGTTTAGGATTAGAGTTGTAGGTCCAAGGCCCTTCATTTGGATTTTTGAAACTTTTGAGGCTCTTTAGAGCTAAAAAAAATATGTTTATTTGGCTCTGATTTTTTTTTTAATTAAAAAAAATTTTTTAATCCTCACCCGAGGATATTTTTCTGTTTATCTTCAGGGAGAGACAAGGAGAGAGACACACACTGCTGTGAGAGGGACACATCAACTGGTTGCCTCCTGCATGACCCCAACCAGGACCGGGGACAAACCACAACCGAGGTACGTGCCCTTGGCTGGAATCAAACCTGGGACTCATTGGTCCATGGGCCGATGCTCTACCCTGAGCTAAACAGGCCAGGGCTGGCTCTGATTTTTAAAAATAACTGCTAGAGGGCAACTAATGCCTTCCAATGAACCTGTCCTTGTAGCGTTACTATAATTTAGCCTTCAGGAGCTCCGCTTCACCAGCCTCTTTCTCCCAGTAATAAAACGAGGCCTTTCACTGGGAGTGTCATATGGATATGGTTTGGCCAAAATTTGTTAAATGGTAGAAATGTCTGGGTTGATGTAACTAAGTCGCTGGGACATCAGGTGCTTATTACTGATGGGACAAGGTTCACAGCCCCATCCTTGGCCTGAGCTACTGATCGCAGCCACTCTTTTGGGAAATCCACCCATGCTGTGCTTTGGGGCTCTTGGGCTTCTATGTGGCTGTAGGAAGCCCCCCTTTTTCCCAGCTTTGCACAGTTTGCTTTTCTCTTCCACAGTAAGTAATCCCCACATCAGATGTTGCTTTTCTGGAGGGTTTTCTCAGCACCTTATGTTTATGCTAGAATATAAACTCTAAACCAGGCCCTAAACTGAACTTTAGGGTGTGGCCTGTGCCCCTCTCCCATTTATCAGTGGTGGTAGTATGCAGGCTGAGCGGCTGGCCCTGTCCAGTGTGTAACAGCCCTCCTTTTATCTCTAGCCCTGCTGTTTCTGGGCCCATCAGAAGAGTCCATGGGTGGATGTGTAGTAGTGAGGAGCAGGTGTTCTTTTGTGACCAGAAAGCCCTGGCCTTGTCCTGGAACGGTTGATCTCCAGGTGTCAGCACACTCCCTGCACTGCCCTGTCTTCAGCCCAGCTGGGCTGATGCTGGTGTAACTGACACACTTACTGAAGTTCAACTGAGACAGAAACAGAAATGCCTGGCATGGGAATGGGGTGCCTGAGGACGTTATTTTGAGTGGAGCCAAATGACAGATAAGAAGCCAGTTTCCTGTGTTAGAAGATGTGTTTCTAATTCTGAGAAACATAACTAGGCAAATAAAAATTCTGTTTGGTCAGGGTTGACAAGCAAGCAAACCTCCATTATAACAGCTGTAGCCCTAGGTCTTTTCAACTTCCAGGGACCATGCTGGCGGGAATGAGAAGCTTGTCAAGTTGGAGCCAGGATTGAAGGTGTATGGGGGTGATGACCGGATCGGGGCCCTGACTCACAAGGTTACACACCTGTCTACACTGGAGGTGAGGAGTGGACCACAAAGGAAAGCGACGTCAGGCCCTAGAATATATTGTGGTGTGGGGGCACGGTGGAAACACTGCCTCATCCACCTGCCTGTCCCCTCTGTTACTCCAGGGACCTAGAGGGGCACATAAGGGCTTGAGCTCTGGAAACAGCCTGACCTGTGGATGGTTGGAGGGCCTCTTGGAACTGCCTGGGTCTGGACAGTCCCCTCTGTCAAGACCATCATAAGCAAATCAGCCTGCAAATGATGACTAGATATAAGAAGAACTATAGGGTACAACTTAGAGCTAATTGGGGAAATTTAAATACAGACTCTACGTGGGATCACATTCTCACGCTGATGCTAAATTTCTTGGATGTGATGATAGTGGGGTTATGCAGGAGGATGTTCTTTCTGTAGTGGATGCAGCTAAAGTATTTAGGGGTAATTTGTCAGGATGTGTGTGACTTGATATGCGTGTGTGTGTGGAGAGCGCACATGCCGCAGATGTGGGAACCATCAGCATTTGGTAACTCAGGTAAAGGTCATATGAATGTTCATCTTTATTTGAATTTTTTTTTTTTTTAATCCTCACCCGAGGACATTTTTCCATTTTTTATTCAGATAGAGCTGGAAGGAGAGAGAGGAAGAGAGAGAAACATCGATGTGAAGGGGACACATCGAGTGGCCACCACCCACACGTCCCAACCAGGGCTGGGGACAAACTGCAGCCAAGGTACATGCCCTTAGCGGGAACCGAACCCGGGTCTCTGTGGACCGCAGGCTGACACTCTAACCGCTGAGCCAAACTGGCCAGGGCATGAATTTTTTTTTTAAATCCTCACCCAAGGATATTTTTCCATTTATCTTCAGATAGAGTGGGAGGGAAAAAGGGAGGAAGGAAGAGAGAGAGACACACACACACACACACATCGACACATCGATTGGTTGCCTCCCACGTGTGGAGACCAAACCACAACTGAGGTACGTGCCCTTGACCAGAATCGAACCTGTGACTCTTTGGTCTGCAGGCCAGTGCTCTAACCACTGAACAAAACCAGCCAGGGCTCAGCATTTTATTTCATTTTATTTATTTTTTTCAGATAATGGTATTTTTATTTTTATTTATTTATTTATTTTAAATCTTTATTGTTGAATGTATTACAGATGTTCCTCATTTTTCCCCCAATGACCCCCTCCTCCCCACTTTTACCCCCTTCCCGCCTTTTCCCACACTTGTCTGTGTCCATTGGTTATGCATATAAGTTCTTTGGTTTGTTTCTTCCCACCCTCCAACCCCTTTCCCTTTGAGGTTTGTCAGTCTAGCAATGAATTTGTACTTCTTAATCCCTTCACCTTTTTCACCCATTCTCCCAACCCCCTCCCATCTGGCAACCAACAACATGTTCTCTGTATCTATGAGAATGTTTCTGTTCTGCCTGTTCATTTTGTTTGTAGATTCCATTGTTGATAGATATGTATTCATTGCCTTTTTGTTTGTTCATATATTTTATCTTTTTCTTCAAAAGACCCTTCATATAATAATAGTTTGGTGGTGATGAACTCCTTTAACTTTTTCTTGTCTGGGAAACTCTTTATATGGCCATTGATTCTAAGTGACAGCTTTGCAGGATAGAGTAATCTTGGTTGTAGGTTCTTGCTTTTCATCACTCTGAATATTTCTTGCCACTCCCTTCTGGCCTGCAAAGTTTCTTTTGAGAAATCAGCTGACAGCTTTATGGGAACTCCCTTGTAGGTAACTAACTGCTTTTCTCTTGCTGCTTTTAAGATTCTCTCTTTGTCTTGAACCTTTTGCATTTTGATGATGGCGTGTCTTGGTGTGGGCCTCTTGGGGTTCATCTTGTTTGGGACTCTCTGTGCTTCCTGGACTTGTATGTCTGTTTCCTTCACCAAGTTAGGAAAGTTTTCTGCCATTATTGTTTCAAACAGGTTTTTGATTTCTTGTTCTCGCTCTTCTCCTTCTGGCACCCCCAAGATGCGAATGTTGGCACGCTTGAAGTTGTCCCGGAGGCTCCTTACACTATCCTCATTTTTTTGGATTCTTTTTTCTTTTTGCTGTTTCTGATTGGGTGTTTTTTGCTTCCTTATATTCCAAATCAATGGATTTACGTACTCTACTATTGAATCTGTGTGAATTATTCTTTATTTCAGTTAATGCCTCCTTCATTTCTGACTGTGCATCCATCATTTCTGACTGGTCCTTTTTTATGCTCTTGAGACCCTCACTGAGTTCATTGAGCATCCTTATAAGCAGTATTTTGAACTCAGCATCTGTTAGGTTGCTTATCTCCATGTCGCTTAGTTCTTTTCTTGGGGTTTTGTTCTGTTCTTTCATTTGGGACCTGTTTCTTTGTCTCCTCATTTTGGCTGCCTCCCTGTGTTTGTTTCTGTGTATTACTTAACGAGCGGTATGGGGCGATCTGAGACCAGATGCTGCTTGTTTGAATGAATTTAGGAAAGCCCGAAGCAGGATCCCAGACAGGCCAATCCTATGGTTAAGCAACTGGCAACAGCTTGGGTGGGTCTGAAAGTTGGGTGGGGCGGGGCAGGGCCTCAGGGAGTCACCAGGGCGGGGCTACCAGTGTGAGCCAGGTTGCTGGAGTCCCAGATATGGCAACTGTCTGCTGCCCCAGGGAAGGGCTCACCAAAGGAACAAAGGCCTCTGACAGCACATTTGTCCCGGAGAAAGCCCCCTCTCCAGCCCTCGCTCCAGTGCCAAACAGCTCAGTTCGTCCCTGTATGTCTCTGGTGCCCGTTGAGCTGCCTCCCCTCCAAGCTTAGAGGGAGAGAGTCCGATAAGTTCGTGCGCGGGCCCTTTAAGAAGCTGCCTGGGGCTCCAGCCGCCTCAGCCTCCCTGAGCCTCAGTTCCCGCTGGTTTTTCCAGCCAGAATTATGGGGATTCTCTTCCTGGCACTGGGACCCTGAGTGGGGCATCTGGTATGGGACGGGGACCCCTCAGTCCTCAGTCCTTCCCAGCCGAGGTGTCCTCCTGATTTTTATCCGCCACACGTGGGTGTGGGACCAGCCCCTCCTACCAGTCTGGATGTGGCTGCTGCTTTAATTCCATAGTTGTAGGCCTTCCATTGAGCTTGATTTCAGGCAGTTTTGAATGATGGTTCTGTAGTTGTAACTTTGATGTGGTGGTGGAAGGACGCGATACCGCGTTTACCTACCCGCCATCTTGACCGGAAGTCCCTATTTTTATTTCTTTTTTATTAATTTTTTGTTACATATGTTTCTCCTTTTCCCCCCCTAGATCCCCTCCTCCCCATCCTGTCCCTCCCACCCCCCTATCATTGTTGTCTGTGTCTGTTGGTTATGCATACATGCATATCAGTATCCTACTTTTGAAGGAGAAAACAAAATAAGGCCCTTTAGTTTTGCCTCTCAGCAAATACCAGGTTCTTGGGTGGTCCCTGCCCCTGGAGCCACACTCGAGAACTGAGTCTCATGCTCATCAGCAAGACCCACATCTTGCTGTGTGGTGGGTGTGGGGTCTCAGGCAAGACCTGTGGGACCAGGAGTCCATGTGCTTGTGAGCCCGAGGAGCACATGCCAACATGTGCTTTGTTTCAGGTGGGGTCTCTGAATGTCAAGTGCCTGTCGACACCGTGTCACACTTCTGGACACATCTGCTACTTTGTGAGCAAGCCTGGCAGTTCTGAGCCCCCTGCGGTGTTTACAGGTGAGGTCTCAGGTGTGTGTGCTGGTGGCTGGTGTTCTTTGCAAAGACCCTCTTGGCTTAGGGGTGGAGAAGAAGAGCATTTCTTGCCTGAAACTACACAGGGCTGAGTGAGGAGGACCACAGCCCTCAGGGCAGAGCCTGGGGCTCATCTTCAAACACACTGGGGCACGGGCAGGCGGAGTGGATATGCAAGGAGTGGCGCCTCCTGGTGGGGCTGGTCTTGTGCTTCCCTCTGACCACTGTCTGGTGCCCTGGACCAGCCTTTCCTTGAGAGACTCTACCTGGTGGAGTCTGATCCACCACTTCCTCCAGCAGCTGCCAGGTGGGCAAGGCAGTGAGCCTCAGACCCAACTCATGTGGGCCTTAACTGATGCCCTTCTGAGTGCTCACACTGCCCATCCCTCTGTGGGCTGGAGCAGAGTTGGGTTTGGCAAAGCCAGTAGCCAACCCCTGGTCAGGGTCTCCTACACAAAGCAGCCCTGAGAGTGGACTACAAGCTCGGATGGTGGTGGACAAGTTCAGGAAGTGGCTACACTCTGTGGTGGCCGTGACCCTGAGTGAGGTTTCTGGAGCACGGCCCAGCACTGGACTGTGTGAGCAGCACTCAGTCAGGCAAGCAGACCCATGAAGCAGAACGGCCCTGTGACAGCCCGGCGGTCAGGGTGGCATGCGCCATTGGCCACGGCCGAGGGGAATGGTTGAGAGTGCCCATGAAGAGCAGGCTTGTTGTTCCCGAGGAGCCCTACTGCCACCCGACTTTGTAGTGAGTGTAGCAGTTTTTATATCTTCCAGAAATTTAAGTTACAATCATGATATTGTAACTGCAGTGAGTTTGTTTAAAAACATGATGGCTGAATGCAGTGTGGGCTCCTGGATGGCTCCTGCCATGGAAGAAGGGTGTTGATGGGAAATGTACACTGAGTCTGGGGTGGAGTGTTTAGTTAATAGCAATGTAGGGATGCAGGCTTGTAGTTTTGACAAATACACCAGGTGACATAGGACACAGAAGGAAAGGAAATGCCAACCGAGTGGGGGATGTGTAAGGGGCCCCTGGAAAGAGGATCTCTGTATACAAATCCAAAATTATTCCCAGGTATAAGTTTTTCAAAAACATGTACAGCTGTTGTCAGTGTCTTCACTGCAGTGATGGAGGTGTGGGGCTGGGAGTCAAGTTTCAGGTCCCTGGGCACATGGTGGCAGCCCCTGGCCTCACGATGGGCTGAATCTGACTGTGGCGTGGACACTGTGCCATGTACACTGCCCTGAAGTGGTTTCGCCTGTGTGTGTATGGTGGGAGCAGAGTGTCCCCCGCTGAGTGCTGTAGGCCTGAACTGAGAGGAGCGTGCCCGAGGCCTGGCCTGGCAAACCCTCAGTACGTCAGACTCCTGTTTCTACTGGACATCGGTCTGCCCATCTGTCAGGGTTGTGAGGGCCTGGGGAGTGGGTGGGCCCTTGGGGACTGTGCTGTTGGAAGCTGAGCCCCACTTTGGAAGGTGTGGAGGGCTGACTGCTGCAAGCACAGGCCTGAACTGCGTCGTGCACGTGTTATTACTGTAGTCTGTGTGACAGCTCTGTCCTTTTGGTGACTTTAATAATAAAAATGAAAAATTGTGCAGTGTCCTCAATGGGAAAGCTAAGGTGTCTGTATAAGGACTAATGGTGTGGGATATAGGATGGTCCAGCAGGGCCCCAGCTGGCCTGTGTGTGCAGCCGAGGAATCTGCAGCATCCAAAGGTGGGATTATTGGTGGCCCCAGGCCTCGAGCCTAGGTCTGAGTGACCCAGGGCCACACTCCCTTTCCCTAAACCTAGGATGTAAGTGGAGGAGGTGACAGCCCATAGAAGGGTGTGGCTTTGGCCCTGGGATGTGGTGGGCGGGACTGGCCACTAACAGGCCAGGGAAGTGGCTTGGCAGGTGCTGATGGAAGAGGAATGTTGCTCGACGTCATGGGGTCACAGGCCCTCCTCACCACAGGGGCCTGGAGAACAAATGTCTGTGAGTTTCCACTTGGCATGGAGCCAGTTCTCAGGGAGGAGACTCGGAGGGAGGCAGTAGTGCATAGAGACCTGGTGGGCGTCAGGACTGGGGCTAAAGGGTGGAGTCAGCAAGGGGTGATCTGCAGGCAGCAGGTCTGAATCTTGAGGATACTTGTGGGCTATGGTCCCTTGTGAGGGCCTCTCAGAGGGCCCAGGTGGGGCCAATGAGATCATGGAGGGTGTTATAGGACAGTCCTGGCTGCCTGAGATAAGGGGAGATGCAGGGAGGCCAGACCTGGGAGCGGGGTTACTGGGTGGGTGGGGACAAGGACTGGGTAGGTGGGTCTCGGCACTACAGCTGATAGGACCGGGCAGTGAAGGAAGGAGTCAGCATGACCCTAAGGTTTGGGTTTGAGCAGCTATTTGGGAGCTGGTGGTATCAGTGAGAAAGACGAGTGAAAAGTTTTGGGGTGGGTGGAAACCAAGAGCTGTGGGTTGTCTTTGGGCCCTGTTGGATATCTAGGTGGACGAGATGTCTGAGGCTGGGCCCCAGTCAGCCCAGGGGACAAAGTGGAGCCTCGGCCCATGGATAGCAGGTGGTCAGCATTGTCCGGTAGTGGATCATCAGCCTCTTGACGTGGTGTGTCCTACTGGCAGCCTTACTGCTCCATGGCTGTCCTCTTTCAGGTGACACCTTGTTTGTGGCTGGCTGCGGGAAGTTCTATGAAGGGACCGCGGACGAGATGTATAAAGCCCTGATCGAGGTCCTGGGCCGGCTCCCTCCAGACACAGTAGGCGGAGCCCCTGTCAAGTTCCCTGGCTGGGGGTGTGAGGACATGACCTGCTCTCTCACTCTGTTCTCTTACTTTCTGTCCCATGCCAAACCCCTCCCACCCCCTGTGGCTACCCTCTCTGTGGGAAAGAGTGGTAGGGCGGGGCATTTTTCTCTAGAACTGTGGGTTTTCTCTTAATATACTTTTTTTAGAGAGGAAGGTAGAGGGAGAGAGAGATAAAAACATCCATGAGCGAGAACATTGATTGACCGCCTCCTGCATGTCCCTCATTGGGGATCAGGCCCACAACCTGGGCATGTGCCCTGACTGGGAATCGAACCTGCGACCTCTTGGTGCAAGCTTGAGGGGGGATTAATGAGTCTCTTCAGAGCTGATGGGTTTGGCTTTTTCCTCAGAGAGTATACTGTGGCCATGAATATACCATCAACAACCTCAAGTTTGCTCGCCACGTGGAGCCCAGCAACACCGCCATTCAGGAGAAACTGGCCTGGGCCAAGGTGAGTGGGATAGGCTGTGGGCACGTCCTGTGAGGGGCCTGGGTGCTGGAACTCAAGGGATCATCTCCAGAGTGGGCAGCAAGTGCTCCTCAGGGCCACGAACAAGCCAGGGTTTTAACCCACCCAACTGTGTGCAGGAACCAGGTGGCTTGTCAGATCCTGTCTGACTCAGTGGGTCTGGGCCGGGTCTGGGAGGCTGCATTTCCAGCAAGTGTCCCAGTGGGCCAGATTGCCAGATCCCTGCCCACTTCCCATGGCCTGGGCAGCAGGTGGGACTGTGTGACAGCAGTTTCGCTCTGGAGATTGTTTGTCTGAAAGGCATTTATTTCAACAATAGCCTCAAACTTGCTCCTTGGCTCAGCCCAGGGTTTGGTTTATTGTCCTGGAAGCATCTTCAGGGCAGGGGGGCGGGGGCGGGGTTGGAAACACAGCTACAGTCGCCCTGTGTAGGCAGAGAGGTTCTCCTGGACTCCAGGAGTCTGTCTTCCCACAGAGTAAACCTACCTCACACAGTTTTTTGTGGGTTTTTTTTGTATATGCCCCTAGCGGGAACCGAACCTGGGACTCTTTGGTCCATAGGCCGACATTCCAGCCGCTGAGCCAAACCCGCCAGGGCTCACACAGTTTTTGTTTGTTTGTTTGTTTTTATCCTCACCCGAGGACATTTTTCCATTTTTTTGGTTCAGATAGAGTGGGAGGGAGAGAGAGAGAAACATCGACGTGAAAGGGACACATCGAGTGGCTGCCACCCACATGACCAACCAGGGCCAGGGACAAACTGCAACCGAGGTACATGCCCCCAGTGGAAACCGAACCCGGGTCTCTCTGGACCGCAGGCTGACGCTCTAACCGCTGAGCCAAACCGGCCAGGGCTGTTTGTTTTTTAATATATCACCTGGTTTTGTTGAGCATCTTTATCAGTTTGGGGGGGGGGGGTTATAATACGTGTAAAAATTCAAATACTACCTTAATCAGCTGGTAAATATCATTTTTTTACTCTGCACATTTATGAATACTTAATATATATTCCATACACACTGCTTTGTGCCTTTCTTTTCACTTAATACTGGGTCTCAGTGCTCTTTCCATAGCAATGAGTACATATTGAACTAATTCTTTTCATGGTTACCAGCTTGTTTTTTCAATCCTTACCCGAAGATATTTTTTCATTTATTTTCAGAGTGGGAGCGAGAGAAAGAAAGAGAGAAAGATTGATGCTAAAGAGACACATTGATTGATTGCCTCCCGATGACCCTGACCAGGGTTGGTGTCGAACTGAAACTGAGTTACGTGCCCTTGACCGGAGTCAAGCCCTTGCCTCATTGGTCCGCGGGCCAATGCTCTAACCACTTAGCAAACCAGCCAGAGCAGTTATTAGCTTTTTTTTTTTACCATCCTCACCGGAGGACATTTTTCCATTCTTTGTTCAGATAGAGCAGGAGGGAGAGAGAGGAAGAGAGAGAGAGAAACAACGTGAAAGGGACACATCGAGTGGTCGCCACCTGCATGCCCCAGCCAGGGCCGGGAACAAACTGCAACCAAGGTACATGCCCTTAGGGGGAACCGTACCCGGGTCTCTCCAGACCACAGGCCAATGCTCTAAGCACTGAGCCAAACCAGCTAGGGCAATTACTAGCTTTTTTAAAATTACATTTTAGTAAACATAACTTACATACAATGAAAAGTACCCAAATGAGCATTTTACCTTTGGATAAATTTTGACCATGTATGCACCTGTGTAACCCCCAACACAATCACAATACACAACATTTACATGATCCCTAAAGGTTCCCTTGCTTCTTCCTATTCAGTACGCCCAACTACTGATCTGCTTTGTGCCACTATGGATTACTCTTTCCTAGACTTTCATATAACGTAACTGTGATGTGTCTGGCTCTTTTCCTCAGCATAATGGTTTTGAGATTCATTCATGTTTTATTTCTGAGTAATATCTTGTGTGGATATACTACAGTTTTACCCACTCGTCTGTGGATGGACACGTGGGTTATTTCCAGTTTTTCATTATTATAAATAAAGTGCTATGAACATTTGTGTGCAAGTCTTTGTGTGGATGCATGTTTTCACTGCTTGTGGGAACATACCCAGGAGTAAAATTGCTGGGTTGTATGGTAAGTGTATTTCACTTTTAAGAAACTACCTAACTGTTTTCCAGTTGGTTTTACCGTTTTGCATTCCCACTAACAATGCATATAAATTCCAGTTGCTCCATATGCTCACCAACACTTGGTATTGTTAATCTTTAAATTTTAGCCATTTTAATAGATGTATTGTGGTATCTCCTTGTGGTTGAAAATTTACATTTCTCTGATGGCTAATGAAATTGAGTGTCTTTTCATGTGCTTATTGGTCTTTTATGTCTTTTTTGTGTGAAGTGTATGTTCAAATCTTTTATCCATTTAAAAAATTGAGGTGTCTTCTTACTGAGTTGTAAGAATTTCTTATATACTCTGGAAACAAATCTTTGTCAGATATAGAGCTCAGATTTTTTCCCCAGTTTGTGGCTTGGCTTTCCCATTTTCTTAACAGTATCTTTCAAAGAATAAAAGTTTCCCCGTTTGGCCCTTGCCAGTTTTGCTCAGTGGTTAGTGTGTCAGCCCATAGACCAAAGGGTCTCAGGTTCGATTCTGGTCAAGGGCACATACCTGGGTTTCAAGTTTGATCCCTGGCCCTAGTCAGGGTTGTGCAGGAGGCAACTGAAAAAGCAACCAATCCATGTGTCTCTCGCATCGATGTTTCTCTCCCTCCCTCCCTCCCTCCCACTCTCTCTAAAACTCAATGGAAAAATATCCTTGGGTGAGGATCAACAACAACAACAAAAAAAGTTTACACATTTGGTGAAGCTCAGTTTATTAATTTTTTTATCCTTTTTGTGTCCTATCTAAAAATTTTTTTTTTAATTTTAAAATATATTTTATTTTTGTGTACAATTCTCTACAGTATTTATGGGAATAACATTTACCTACCAATAACTCTACATAAGTCCTCTCCTTCCGTGAACAACAAAATGTCAGCACTGACGTATAATTATCTTTTTTCAATTTTTCTGAAAGGTGATTATTTTTTTCTTTGTCTTCAGGAAACGGAACTGATTTTCTCATAAGAAAGCTCATTTCAGTATCATAAAACATGAATTGTTTGAAAATACTTTTTTCAGGTTTATATTGACTATCACCTACTATTATCAATATTATTTGCATATTGTGTATTTTGGGTTTGGAATAATGAATAAATAAGTAGTTCAGAATTTTGTAGGCTGTTTTGAATATTTCTACTTTTTTTTTTTTTTTGGTTACTAAAAAATCTTTGTATACCTCTACATCACAAAGACTTTCTCTCATGCTTCTCCTAGAAGTTCTATAGTCTTAGCTTTTGTGTTCATATAAATTTATCTTTACGTCAGTGATCCATTTCGAGTTAATGTTTGTTTATGGTGTAAGGTAAGGGTGGAAATGCATTTTTTTTTTGCATGTTGACATTTAGTTGCTCAGCACCATTTGTTGCAAAGACTGTCCTTTCCTCAGTGGATTACCTTGGCATCTTTGCTGAATAAAATGGACTCTGTGGGGATCTACTTCTGGACTCTGTTCTGTTCCTTTGATCTGTATGGCTTCTCCTGGTATCAATAACACTGTCTTGATTACTACAGATTATGGTAAGTCTGGGAATCAGATAATATAAGTCCTCTAACTTTATTCTTTTTTAAAACAGGTTTTGGCTCTTCTAAGCCTTTTGCATTTTTGTGTAAAATTTAGGATCATCTTGTAATTACTACCAAAAAGTCAGCTTGGCTTTTGATTGGGACTGTGTTCTAACAAAAGATTCGGAAAGAATTGATATCTTAATAATACTGAGTCTTTCCATGAACATGATACAGCTTTTCATTTATTGAGGTTCTTTAGTTTTTCTCAGCAATATTTTATAATCTTGCACATGTTGTTTAATGTATCCCTAAGTATTTTATGTTTTTGGATTTTATTGTTAATGATTATTTGTTGATAGTCTTTAGAAATTCAATTGATTTTTGTATTTGGACCTTATATCCTTGAGACTTTGCTAAATTCACTTATTCCAGCATCTTTTCTGTAGACAGTCATGTCATCAACTAATAGAGACAGTTTTATTTCTTCCTTCCCAATCTATGTGCCTATTATTATTATCATCATCATTGCTGTATTGCACAAATGGTGAGAGTGGACATATTTGGTTTGTTTCTAGTCTTAAGGACAAAGCATTTAGTATTTCACCATTAAGTATGAAATTAGCTATGGGTTTTTTTTTATAAATCCTCTTTATCAGGCTGATGAAGTTTTCTGAGAGTTTCTACCATGAGTTGGTGTTGAAGTTTGTCACATGTTTTTTCATCATTTATTATATAATTTTTTTTTTTTTTTTACTCTGTTAATATGGTGGAGTACATATATTGGTTTCAAATGTAAAACCAATCTTGCTTTCTGGATAAACCTTATTCATAGTCTGTTATTCTTTTCATGTTACTAAAACCTGTTTTTTCTGTCTGTGTTCATAAGAGATATCAGTCTGTAGTTTTATTTTCTTGCATTGTCTTTTTCTGGTCTTAATATCAGGATAATGCTGGCCTCATAAAATGAGAGAGTGTTTCCTCCTCCTAGCTTCTGGGTTTTCTGTGATTATTATTATTTTTTTTTTCTTTAATGTTTGTTAGAACTCACCAGTGAAGCCATGTGGATATTGAATTCTTGTGGAGATTTTTTGTTATGAATTAATTTCTTTGTGTAGTGTTATTAGATTTTTATATCTTTTTGAGTTAGTTTTGTTAGCAACTTGTATCTTTCAAGGAATTTGTCAATTTCAACAAGGTTTTCAAACTTATTGACAGAGTTTTTACAGTTTGTTCCCTTTTTAGTATTAACTTTATTGAGGTTTAGTTAACATGTAATAAACTGCATCAGTTTAAAGTGAAGAACTGAGTGAATTTTGACTGATGTATATACCAGTGAAACATCTGCCACTACAGTTAAGACACAGACAGAGCATCTTCATAACCCACAAGCCTCCCTCATGCCTCGTTCACTGCGCTGGCTGCAGAGAACGGCCACTAGAGCTTAGTTTGCATGTTCTAGTATTTTATACAAATGGAATTTTACAATATGTACTGTTTTCTTTTTTTTCTTCCACTCTGCAGAATGATTTTGAGATTCATTCATGTTGCTGCATGTATCTCTAGTTCATTCCTTTTTATTTGCTAAATAGTATTCCATTGTTTGGATAGCCCACATTTTGTTTATCCATTCATCTCTCAGTAGACATTTGTGTTGTTTCTAGTAACTGGCTGTTGTAAATAAAGCTGCTGTGAACATTTGTGTACAAATCTTTGTGTGACATATGTCTTAACTTCTCTTGAGTAAATACCTAGGAGTAGAATGGTTGGGTTATATTAGGTATACATTTGACAAACTAAAGAAATTGCCAAACTATTTTCCTAAGTGTTTGTACAGTTGTTCCACATCCTCACTAACACTTGGTATTGTCAGTCTTTTTAAATTTTAATAATTTTAATGAGTATGTAGTGGTGTTTCACAGTGGTTTTAAGTTTAATTTACCTAGTGTCCAGTAATGTCGAGCATCATTTTATACACTTACTGGCCATTCTGTGAAGTGTTTGTTCAACTCCTTTTGCCATTTAAAACATTGGAGTATCTTCTTCTTCTTGAATATAAGAGGATTTTTTAAAAGTATGTTCTGGATACAAGTTCTTTGTCAGATACATGTATAGTGAATAGCTTCTCTCATTCTGTTGCCTTCTATTTTCTCAACAATGTCTTTTGAAGAGCATTTTACATGATGAGATTCAGTATATTAATTTTCTTTTATGGTTCATACTTTGTCTCCTAAGAAATCTTTGCTTTTCCCAAGGTCAAAAATTTTCTCCTATGTTTTCTTTTGGAAGTTTTAAAATTTTAGCTTTTATTTTTAGATCAGTATGACCTAACCAATAATTGTTGGCTCTGTGATACCCCTTTTTTCATTTCCAGTGTTGGTAATTTGTGTTCTTTTTCTTCATCCTTCTCATCAATTTTGTTGATTTTTAAGAATTGCTTTTGCCTTAATTTTTCTTGTTTGTTTTTCCATTGCACTGACTCTTATCTTTTAAACTCCTTCCATCTACTTGCTATGGATTTACTTTGCTCTTCTTTTATAAGTTCTTAATATGGAGCCCAAGTTCATTGTTTAGACCTTTCTTTTTTTCTAATGTAAGCCCTTAAAGCTAAAAACTTCTTCCAGGAACTGCTTTACAGCATCCCACAAATTTTCAAATGTTGTAGTTTCATTGTCTTCAATTTCAAATATTTTAAAAATATCCCTTTTGATTTCGTGACACATGGATCATGTTGAATTGTGTTAAACTTTTTTTGCCTTTTAAATATTTTATTATGAGAATTTCCACATATATAGAAATGTTGAAGGAATTTCATAGTGAACATTCATATGTCTAACATCTCTCTACTACCGACATTTTACTTATTTTATCACTGTCTATCCATTCTTATTATTTCAAATATACTAATGTGTGAACGTCACTTCCATATCATTTTACCAGTCCCAGTAGAGAGACATTCAGGGTTTCCAACCTTCTTGCTCTTATGGACTGTGCTGCAATGTTTACATTTCTTCATCCTTCCTGCTTCTGTAGGAACATCACTGCACACCAACACTCACTTTAATAGATCATCTAAAAGGTTAGGACAGTTTATACTCCCCCAACTATACACGTAAGAACCTGTTTTTAAGTTATCCTTAGAAGAGTTAACTTGCTTTCTTCCCTCATTGGAGATAAGATTTCTTAGGAGAAGTTAATACTGGAGAAGCACAGGGGATATTACAAAACATTCTAAGCTTGTTCCAACCAGAAGGGAAAGAACAGAGATTAGCAGTAAACCTTCATCTTGACTTCCTGCTAGATCTCTGATGGCATCCCCCCCTTCCCCCCGTGGTTGAAGGATTTCTTCTTGATGCAGTGATCACAGTGTGGGGGTGGTAAGATCCAGACCCTCAGGTCTGCTGAGGGCCCCCGATGGTCAGAAAGCCTGGGCTTGGGTATCAGCCTCTATTGTCTAAGCTCCTCCAGGTGTGATCCTCCAGGTTAATTGGGCAAAAGGGCAGGGTTGCTGGGAGGGTGGAGACCCTAGTTGTTAATTCCGACCTTCCCATAGAGTTTTTATAGAAGCTAACAGCTGGCCAAATGACTCAGTTTTTGTCTTCTGTCTGCCTTTGTCAGTGTTGATCAGGGGCAAGACCATCCTGATTAGAGGTATCAAGGTTCCTGCTGGGCTCTTCCTAGGTGCTTCTCCCTTGGAAGCCCATGTAGGGGAAGCCCTGCCTGAATACCCCGCAGTGAGGACTCCCCACCCGGCAGAGGAAGGGGCCGTCTTCCCAGGGGAGGGACCCTGGGTACTCATCTTGCTGTTCTTCCCAGCAAGGAGCTGTGCTCAGCCCATGCATTGTCTTGGGGTGGGGCAGTGGTGTTTTCTTGTTTTCTGCATTTTTGCTGGTTATTACTTCTGTACTGTGAAACATAAACTTCATATTAATGAAAAGAAGGCTCTGTGTTCCCTTAAACCTCCAAGACAGCAAAGGAAGGAGGACAGGTTGTTGGTGGCAGCTGAAACATATCTCTTCTCCACAAGCAAGAAGGGGCCTGACTTAACACTGACCTGACTGCTCACTTTGCCTTCTCAGTCAGGTTGGGTTAAGATGTTTTAAGATCATTAGAAGGGCCCTGGCCGGTTTGGCTCAGTGGTTAGAGCGTCGGCCTGCGGTCCAGAGAGACCCGGGTTCGGTTCCCGCTAAGGGCATGTACTTCGGTTGCAGTTTGTCCCTGGCCCTGGTTGGTCGTGTGGGTGGCAGCCACTCGATGTGTCCCTTCATGTCGATGTTTCTCTCTCTCCCTTCCTCTTTCTCCCTCCCATTCTATCTCTACAAAAAAAATGGAAAAATATCCTCGGGTGAGGATAAAAAAACAACAACAATAAGATCATTAGAAGGGCCCGGCTAGTGTGGCTCAGTACATTGAGTGTCGTCCCACTCACCAAGAGATCATAGGTTTGATTCCTGGTCAGGGCACATGCCCAGGTTACAGGCTCGATCCCCAGTAGGGTGCGTACAGGAGGCAGCCGATTGAGGTTTCTATGTCCCTTTCCCTTCCCCTCTCTAAAAAAATCAATTCTAAAAAACAAATAAATGCCCTGGCCAGTTTGGCTCAGTGGTTAGAGCGTCAGCCCATGGACCAGTGAGTTGCAGATTTGTTTCTGGTCAAGGGCATGCACCTCAGTTGTGATTCATCCCCGGCCCTGGTTGGGGTCATACAGGAGGCAGCCATTCGATGTGTCCCTTTCATGTTGATGTTTCTGTGTCTATCTCCCTCCGTCCCTCCCTCCCACTCTATTTGAACAAAAATGGAAAAATGTCCTCAGATGAGATAAAAATACACACACACACTTTTTTAAAAAGATCATTAGGACCCTGGCTGGTTTGACTCAGTGGTTAGAGTGTCGGCCCACGAACCAATGGGGCATGTCCCTCGATTCCGGTCCGGGGCATGTACCTTGGTTGTGGTTCGTCACCGGCCCTGGTTGGGTTAAGCAGGAGGCAACCAGTCGATGTGGCTCAGTCACGTCGATGTTTCTCTCTGTCTCTCCCTCCCTCCCTCTTTCCCACTCTTTCTAATGATAAATAGAAAAATATCCTTGGGTGAAGAATAAAAGAAAATAATAATTAGAAGATATTTTGAAATGAAGATATTTAGAAGTTTCTGTGGTAAACCGATGTGTTTTTTTTGCAGGAGAAGTACAATATTGGGGAGCCCACAGTGCCGTCCACCCTTGCAGAGGAGTTCACCTATAACCCGTTCATGAGAGTGAGGTGAGGGTGCAGGCAGGTGGGCACAGGCAGGGGCTCACACTGTGCTTGGGCATCTTGACCTCTGCTTCATTCAAGCACTATGTCCACTTACTGATCCTCCTTCTGAAGATCCCGTATGGTGGAGGAGACTGCCCTCCAATCTTGATTAAGTATAACCACAAATCAGACACATTTTCTTAAAGGTGAGCGGGGAGCACCTTCCCTGGTGCCCTGGCAAAGGCATGGGGTCCTTTCTGACCCGAGTCAGGATTTGTAGGCGGGCAGGGTGCATTCTCAGGGGGCCTATGGTGCTGGGCAGTGCCAGGTGCCAGCTTGGGTTTGATGTCCCTGCTGTCTGAGTCACCAGCGAGACTGGGCATGTACCAGGGACCAGCATGCCATCCACAGTTAGGAACACCCAAGTTGGCCATGGGCTGTTCCTTGGTGTCTGGGAGGGGCGGTGGGCAGGGCTTTCAGCCTGCATCCTGGCTCTGGGCTTCTGCAGGGAGAAGACGGTGCAGCAGCATGCGGGCGAGACGGACCCCGTCACCACCATGAGGGCCATCCGCAAAGAGAAGGACAATTTCAAGGTGCCCCGGGACTGAGGCGGCCATGGGGCCTGGGGCCTGGGGTGCCCATGGCTGCTGACTTCAAACGCATTCTGCTATTCAGATGTTTTAGGTGAACTTTCTGCTGGGAATGTTAAGAAATTGAGTCTTGGTTTAATTTTAAATTAATTTCAAAGCCCTTTGCTTGTGTTATCAAATGTTTTAATGCATATTTATAAGAGAAGAATTTAGAAAGTATTTATTCCTGGAAGTTCTGCTTGCAGACTGTGTGTCCTCTGGCTTTTTTGTGGGGCCCCTGCATGACTCCCCAAGAGCTGTTCCTCTGTCCCCTGCCAAGGCCAGCAGCCCCACGCTCACCAGAACAGGCCCTAGAAGGGGGCGCTCTCCTCTCCTGGCGCTGCAGGAAGGGACCTGCTGCTGCGCTCATTGCTTCTTTCCCTCCCTCCCCCAGCTTCTAGAGGAAGTCATTCTCTCCAGGATCATGTGTCAGCATCTTCACAAAGTCACTTCCATGTTGATGCAGTCAGGCCTTGAGCACCTACCTGGGCTGGGTCATTGATGCAGTGAGGCCAGAGGCTGGGGCCAGGCCTGCAGGCTCAGGCTGGGGACCCCTGCCACGTGGTACCCTTGGAGGTCCAAGCTTCACACGCCCCCTCCCTGCAAAGGCTGTCCTGGGTGTTCCCAGGGACCAGTGTGAGCAAGAAGCTAACAGGAAGGACACAAGGATACCATCCCGTTGGAGAGTCACCAGGCACCCATGCTGTGAAACATGATTGTTGGCGCCTTGCAGCTCTGCCCAAGGTCTGATCCACTCAGGCCCAAGTGGGGAGAGGTTTCCACATCCTTCCTCCCCGCAGTAGTGTGGAGAGGCCCGAGGCTGAGCTCTCTATGAGGGTGTCCCTGCTGTGCAGCTGTACCTTCTGCTTTCACTTGAGAAGACAAGCTGCGGCCGTCCCGGGGAGCCACCGTGCCAAGCGTGGCTCCTTAGCAGCAGTGTCAGGCTAGTAGCCCTGGCACACTGCGTAGGCTCTGCATGTGCTGAGTCCCATCCCAGGCAGAGAGGGTGGCTGTCTGAGCAGGGAGGAAGGGGAGAGGCAGCCATGGGGTGTCCTGAGGGCACTCAGGGTTTTTAGATGGGAGGAGGTAGGGATAGGACGGAGGGGGTGTGGCCCAGACCCAGAGGAGAGTTGGTGGCAGGAAGAAAGGGCATTTGTTCCCAACTAACTATCTTCTGGATTTGGAAGTGTTTTTCTGTGTTTGACATTTTCAGTTTGGCTTCGATCTGTGACAAAAAAATAGTACCAGGCACTGGGTTTGCAAAGGCTTTGCTCGCTGAGCCTGTCACTGCTGCCTCTGGTCAGTCTTTGCTATTGTGACGGCACTCATGTAGACTGTCCGCCACCGCTTCTGTTTATGTCACCTTTACTGCTTGTCCTAGACAGGTCACGACAAAGCATGAGGCCTGTCTACTGCCATTTTCCCTGGAGTCCTCAGGTCCCAAAGGTCATTTGTCCCCGTTCTTGGTTGAGTCGCATCACTGCATTGCCTGCATGGGCCACACTGCTGAGAGTCTGGGAACCCAGGACAATTAAAACATGCTTGAGAATCACAGAGACATTCTGGTCCAAAGATTGTGACATTCTAGATGGAGCCAAAGCACTCTGTGGCCAGCAGGAGTGTCACGGAGTGGGGTTTGCATGGATCCTTCTAGATGTCTCATTTTATAGCTTTGTACCAAGTGTGGAAATATGGTACAGATGTCTCAGGACACGGTGTTCTGTGGCTTTGTGAACCCTGTAAACACTGGAGATTGTGAGGGTCCATGTGGATCTGTGGGCCTGATGCCCATTTCAGCAGGCATCTCCTGTGTTGTTGGCAGCCCCTCGCCAGGGACACCGAGTCAGCGCTTGTCCCACCAGCATGCGTGGCTTCCGGCTGCAGGAAGGCCGTGTTCAGGGGGAGTGGTTCTCACTGTACCCAGCTGCCAGCAGGCCCCTCCTGCCAGCGTCCTCATGACCCTGCTTCTTCCAGCTCCTGGGTTTCTGATTGCACATTTAAATGTCAAAGAACAGAAATGAAACACTTATAAAATGTAGAGAACATAAGGAAAGAGTGCCCCACGACCCAACTGCCCAGGGGCTTCCCTCCTCGTCCTCTGGAAGAGCTGAGCCCTAAGGAGTGGGTGTTTTCACCTTGGTGGACTGGGGTCCTGCAGCTGCCATCCGAGACTTGCCAGGGGCGCTGGCTCTGTAGCTGGTCTGTGGGGCTGATGTTTTCATGGCTGAGGTTGGACATGTGGCCTGTGGCCTGGGTCTGGATTCACAGCTCTGAAGCAGTCTCCTTCGGTCCCTGCTGCAGCTGGCACCAGAATGCTGGCCAGACAGATGTGAATTTGAACTCAGGAGAATATTTGGCCTGTCTAGTAAAGCACACTGATGGTCCCCTGCACCAGCGAGTGTGGTTTTCTACTAGATTTCGTTTCTTACCACGAGTGCTTCCACTTCCTGGCGCATACGTCACGGGTCCTCGGCGGTGCATGTGAGCAGGTATCACCTGGTTTGTTGCCTGCTCTGCACTCTGATGCCTTGTTGAAGGAATTCTTCATTTATTATAGTCAAATGCATCTTTTTTTTTTTTTACTTAAGTGCTTCATGTTCTGTTTAACAACTCTTTTCCTCCTCGGATGCCTTCCTGGAATTTCTTTCCATTGTTTTTTGTTTTGCTTTTCACACTGAATTTTATAATTCACGTGAGCCATGGCCAGTTTGGCTCAGTGGTGGAGCATTGGCCCACAGACCAAGGGTCGTGGGTTCGATTTCTAGTCAAGGGCTCATGCCTGGGTTGCAGGTTTGATCCCTGGCCCCCGTCGGGGTTGTGCAAGCAGCAGCCCATCGATGTGTCTCTCTCACATCAGTGTTTCTTTTCTCTCTCTCTCCCCTTCCCTCCCTTCCACTCTCTCAAAATCAATGGAAAAAATATCCTTGGGTGAGGATTAAAATAAAATAAAAAATTATAATTCATGTGAAAATGCTATTTATGCTGGTTGCCTGGTACCTGGGTGTCCCTGTCCTCAGTCGGCACTGCAGCCCTGGTGAGCGTCCGCAGTGCAGCATGTTTTGTCGCTTCACCTTCTGCTGGTGTGTCCCCACCTTCTGCTGGTGTGTCCCCGTCCTGACACTGGCGCCACCTTCCCTGTCACTGCAGCTTTAAAACAGTTCTTCATTTCCAGGAGGGGACATGACCCAGCCGCATCCTCAGGAGAGTGTCAGCCCTTTGCCCTTACGTGTAGGTACTAGGATATTGATACCTGGGATTTGGACTGGAGTAATATTGACTCATTAGATGGGGAAGAAAGGACTTTTGTGATTTGGAAAGTTTCAGGTTTTGAACATGCTGCTGCTGGTCCATCCGCTTGGATCTCTGGTGCCGACCACGCTGTGCCACTAAAGTGTACCTTTGATGCTGCCCACCAGTGTTAGTGCAGCCCCACCAGTGACAGGCACGGTCCCCAACACGACCACCCTCCCCACAGACAGCAGCTGGAAGCTTGGGGCCCCAGGCCACCTGCACTTCTGACCAGCTGGCTATATATTCAAGGGTTCCCATGACCTCCTCGGATCCAGTAACTCACTAGAATGACTTAGAATTCAGGGAGATGCCATACTTCTGATTTTATTATAAAGGATATGACAAAGTTTTATGATGAAGGTTGCAAACCAGGACCAGCCAAGTGAAGAGTTCCACAGGGTGAGGTCTGGGAGGGTCCAGAACACTGACTGCGCCCTCTGTGGAGCGTCCGGGGCTCACTACAGGGCAGTCTCACCACGAGCCTCAGGGAAGAGTGGGTTTGAGTGTCACTGTGTCAGCCATGGAATTACTGGCAACGTGGTTCAACTCCAACCCCATCCCACATCCAACCCTCTGACAACAGGGCAGGGATTTTTGGTGACAGCTCCATTGAGTCATTTCATTAGTATAAATGCAGGTGACCAGGAGGATTTTCAGGAATTAGAGGCTCCTTCCCCTCAACAGGGACAAAGGCCAGGGAAATTATTATTTGGCAGCTGTCTTTCCATCAGGTTTTACAACTTTCTCAGAGTCCAGTTCTCTGGGACCGTGTGGTCCCTGGGTACTTGGTTCTTTGATGTGTTGTGCATGGTACCTTCGTTCAGGCCCCTCCAGTGGTCAGGAAGTGAGGGCAGTTGACTGCTGAACTTGCTCATCCTGATGTTCCCTCTGTGGGCCTCTGGGAGTTCCGCCTGGGAGCTGGCTTCCCACACCCCCTTGTGTGGAAGTGAGGCGGTGGGCACCGTGGCCTTTGTTCTGACTTCGTGGGTCGGAATGCTGCTGGCGTGGCAGATGCCAGGTGCTCCGGGACTCGGAGTGAACAGAGTGAACAGAGTCCCTGCCCTTGTGGGGCTTCTGCTCTGGTGGAGGGATGAAGACGGAAGATGGCTGAAGTGCTGGCAGGTCAGACGGAGGGAGGCCTGCAGAGAATAAAATGGAGGAAAGGGTACACAGAGCACCCAGGACGTCTCCTTACACAGCGTGGCTAAGGGGAGGCCTCACTGAGGAGACATGAAGTAAAAACAGAGGGGAGCGAGGAGCAAGCCTCCCAGAAGCGAGGGGAAGAGCCAGTGCAGAGGCCTGGGGCCGCTCTGCGGACCAGCAAGGCAGTGAGGGGCGGGTGGGCCGGGCAGCACTTGAGGACCCTGGCGCCCACTGCGAGCTGTGCACAGGCCGGCGTAGCTGACCCTGACTAGGTTTCTCGGGGTGTCATGGCAGGGTCGCTGGAGGGGCAGCGGGGGCAGCGACGGGGGAAGGCCAGGTGGAGGTGGGAGAGGTGGCGAGTTCCCAGTGTGAGCTGAGGTGAGGCAAAGGCACTTGCTCCCAGCTTGGATCGGAGCCATATGTGCTATTACCGGACTCCACGTCTGTTTACGCCTGGAAGTGTGGGGGGTCAGGTTTGGACAAGTTGAGTTTACAATGCCTGTGAGCCCTGGCAGGCATGGCTCAGTGGTTAGAGCATCGGCCTGCTGACCAAAGGGTCATGGGTTTGATTCTGGTCAAGGGCACGTATCTGGGTTGCAGGTTCGATCCCTGGCCCCAGTCGGGGTCGTGTGGGAGGCAGCCAATCGATGTGTCCCTCTCACATTGATGTTTCTCCCTCCCGCCCTCCCTCCCACTTTCTAGAAATCAATGGAAAAATATCCTCAGGTGGGGATTAACAAAACAAAAAATGCCTGTGAAACATCCAGGTAG